TGTTTAGAAAAACAAACTCTAACTCTAGTTTTTCATGAGCTTTCTATTATCTTAATTAATTTATACTCAACTTTTTAACTTGTAAACAAATTATAATATCTTTAAATAGGATAATCCTTTGAATAAAAGGTAAATATATACTATTTGAAGTTAAATATTTTTTTACTCCATTTCTATTTTATATTTCAACAATTGATAACTTTTGACATCAATTTATCATATAATTTCTATTAATTAATTTATTTATTTGTGTATTTTTATTAAATATGAATAAATGCAAAGAAATATGAATAGTCATATATTTAATAAATATTTTAAATACAATTTAAAGTTTTTGTGCTGATGTGGACACTGAGTTCAGGTGAATTCTCTGATATCTAATATACGATTTGTCAGAAGATATAGTTCCAGTGAAGTTGGTGTTGGAGATACGGAGGTTAAGTGAGGTAAACGAAGATATCTTAGGAGGGAAAGGTAAAGCCAATTGTGTTGAAACTCATTTTTGATAGTATATTTATATGTCAAAAATGAAATTGGTTTAAATGAGAGATGGAAGTCCAAGTGGGTTGCTTGTATAACATAAAATATAACATTTATAATAATTTTCTATATTGGAAGTGGAGAAAAATTATATTCGGGCTGAACTTGTTTTCAGACTTCCAGATTTGGCAATCGGGCCAACGGCCTTTAAGATTATTCTTTTGACCATTGAATTTTGTTGTTGAAAATAGTCAACAAAATATATCTTTTAATTTATGTTGGTAACATGGCAATTAAGTGAGAAAATCAATTCTATTTTTGTAACATACAAAACTTATTTCATGTTGAACTCATTATGGTGAGAATAAAGTTTTCCAACTCCACTTTATTTCCATACGTTGGAATACCTTGTGCATGGGCTTTATAAAGCCAATTCCTCCTTTTTGTAAATTACCACATTGATCATTATCATTCATAGAAAAAACAATCTTCCACATATCTTTTTTTTATTTGTTTTTCTTACATCACAGAAAAACATGATTCGAAAGTTTATGATTTGAGTGATGCAAACATAAGAAATGTGCAGTTTTATCCTAGGATTCGAAACGCCATGCAACCTTCACACTACGAGGCGTTTAGAGAATTAAGGAAAGAGATTATATCTCGACTCTGCAAATCCGGTTTTGTTTTCTTAATTCTTGTTTATTTTGTATCATTTTAATATTGTATTATATTAATTTGTTCATATTTATACTTTACAATTATCAGTCGCCTATGGTAGAAATTGCGTTCCTACAAATTGAACATAGACGACATTGATCTCTGCAACGAGTGAGTTTGTCGGAGGAGAACAAGTGATGTAAGGCCACTGATATGGATCAAAATCAAAGGGATTCCAGCCAGAGAAAGCTGCCGGCATCCAAGGGGAGCTGTAAAGCCAGTAAATCAACATATCAACTTCGTTGCTCAATGCAGAAGCCGAGGAGATAAAGAAATGTAAAAACAAAGAGAAGAAAAATAAGAAGGTAATGGAAAAACGAAAAAATATAAAGGCTTACTTGGAATCATGATGATGTCTTCTGCGAGATGACATTTTTAAATTGGTCCTAGTTTAGGTTTATTGTTTTTAATATATTTGATTTGTCTTTTATGATTTCAGGTAAAAATAACTAGTTTCTGCATTGATCCTTTGAGTTTCGTATTGAATCCTTAGATTCATATCCTGAAGTTTATGAGTTCAGAAAAATGTATGGACAAAATCAGTTTTCGTCAATTGTTATCGTTTAATCATTTCATATACAGTTTTCTGATTGTATATATTATTTTGATATATAGGTTGCAGAAGAAAAAGAGTAGTGTATTGGTGTTTGATTATGACACTTAATATGTTATGGTGATTTGATTGATATTATTTATATTTTCATTTTAAAAAAAAATTAATGTTCTTGAATGTTGTGGTGCTTTGACACAAAAGTAATGGTGCTTTATTATTATAATAATATGTTCTGCGCCACCTAAAACAATTTAAAATATATATTACTCATTTTTTCCTTATCAATATAATAATAATATTACCGATATAAAATAAAAACAGCAATGACTTCTTTTGAAAACTAAAATAATATAAAGAAATTGAGAATAAGTGTGTAATGTGGGAGTTATGGTGTACTGTTTAGGGTGGGGAGATTTATAATGCAAGGTTTAGTTTTTGATACATTTAAAAAAAAATTTGAATACACTAACATTACCGATTAAAACCACAAAAAGAAGGAAATTTTTAATTTTTCCTTATCGATCTAAGACTAATATTGTCGATTTAAAACAAAAACAACAACAACTTCTTTAAAAGAAATCTAAAACAATATAAGCAAATCGATGACAAGTGTGTAATGTGGAGTTGTGATGTAATGTTTATAATGTAGAGTTTAGTTTTTGGTACATTTAAACAAAAACAAAATTGAATACACTAACATTACCAATTAAAACCACACAAACCACACAAAGAAGCATTTTTTTTTCCTTATCGATCTAAGACTAACATTGTCTGTTTAAAACAAAAACAACAACTTATTTAAAAAAGAAAAATCTAAAACAATATAAGCAAATTGATAACATGTGTGTAATGTGGGGTTGAGGTACAGTGTTTAGAGATGGGTGGAGTTAATAATGTAGGGTTGGTTTAGGATGTAGGGTTTATATTGATTGGTGTAGGTTTAAGTTTTGGTGCATTATGAAAAATTTGAATACACTAACAATGCCGATTAAAAACACAAAACAACTTTTAGTTTTTTACATAAATTAAAACAATTCCACAACCAGTAATGTGGGATTCGGGTGAGTGGTTTAAGGGTGGAGTTTGAGTTTATGATTTGTGTAGTATTTAGTTTTAAGTCCATTTTCACAATTTTGAATTAAAATAAGATTATTTCAAAATTAGAAATCAATGATCATAGATTTATATCTACCATTCTAAAATCTTTATATTATTAATTGAGGGGCGAATTGCCAATTATAGTTCACAATTTGATTTGAAATGCAAAAGTAGACCCTATATTGCATTTAGAGCAAAACTAGTCTTCTGGGCATGTAGAATTACAAACCAAGCCCTTATGAACAAAGAAAAAAACGCTAGTCACAATGTCTGTTTTACCCTGTTTAAAGTCTATATGAAGTCTACAGCGTATTAGACTTCATCATGAAGTCTAATTCCTAAATACAACTCAAATTTAATTTATAAAATTATAGGAAATTGTTTTGATCAAAAAAATTATACATAAGTAAGATTAGAACATTTGGCATCCAAGAAAAATAAACTTGCATAAAAATGACTCCATTTAACTCAAGTAAGAGAAATTATGTTTGTAACCTATAAACTGCGTGAAGTCTACTCCCGAAGTCTAATATATAGCAAAATCGTAAATTTAAAGTTTGAAATCTTTAAAAATATTTTGATGAAGGTATTTACACATAATTTAAACAAAGACAAGTACTATCCATGAAAAATAAATTTGCATATAAATTGATCAATTTAAAACCGGTAATACAAATTATGGTATAATCCAAAAAATATTGTGTGAAGTCTACTGAAGAAGTCTACCAAATAACAAAATCTTAAATTTAAAGTTTAAAATCTATAAAAAATATTTAGGCTTAAAAAAATTATAAATAATCTAAATGAAGACAAATCCTATCTATGTAAAATAAATTTTCATGGAAATTAATCAGTTTATAAGTTTCATGAGTAAACCAATCATCAAGCTTAGTGTTTGAGGTACAATGTATAGGGTTTATGAGTATGATTGTTAGGGTTTAGAGAATTTTGACATAAAAAATTGTTTGTGGTTTGTTTAACGATTTAAAGCTAATGAATTTATAGTTTATAATGTAAATTGTGATTATATATACATAATTTATGTTTTCTATAGCTTTGATCTCAAAAATTCGATTTAGGGTTTAGGGTAAGTCAGACTTCATCGGTAGACTTCATAGTTAGACTTTGCTATGAAGTCTTTTATTCAAAAAACGAGTGGGAAACGAAATTATTAGGGCGGGAAACGAAATATTTTGGGCGAATAAATTTCTCATTAAAAGTTCAATTTGTAGACTTCACGAGTAGACTTTGTACATCAATTCCGGTTTTTGAACAGAACCGGTCAAGGAAATTATAATTTTTGTTGTAATTGGGTTTAACCAAAATTAGCCGGCCCTAATCGAAAGTGAGAAACCCAAAATCAGGGTTTCACTTTCACATTTCACTTTCACAAACCCAAGTCCGTTCCGTTCTCTCTCTTTGTCGGATAGGCGATTGCATGTTCTCTCCGCCCACCGTCGCCGTCGAAGAAGAAAGACAGACCCACTATCGTCGCCGCCGCCTTTTCCCCTTCCTCCTCCGAAGTATACTTCTGTAAGTCATATTCATATATCAGTGATATACGTATTTGTGTCTGTTTCCCTCTACTGTCGTTATACTCACAGTGGAATCTTCTTTTGAACCCTTCCGCCACCGTTGGTTGCCGCTGTCCGTGTTGCCGTTGTCCGTGTTGCCGCTGTGGAATCGAACGACCTATTAAATCGCACCAATTATTCTCTTCCTCTCAGCGCCGGTTAGTTATCTCCCTTTCACTTTTTTTCTCTCTGCTTACGCCCTTCAAACCATGGACTAATCGATTGTAGATCTGTGGCAGGTCTCCGTTGCCGGATAGTAGTATCCGCCGTCGTTGCGCTTCTTAGTAGTATCCGCCGCCGTTGCTGGCCCTCATAACCGCAAAGAATAAGGTAAAAGTCTATTGTTAGGGTTTAGTTAGCCGCTCTTTAGCGGCGGTTGGCTAGAGTAGAGCAGACTTAAAGTACAGACTTCACCTTTAGAATTGATAGACATCATAGTTAGACATCATAGTTAGACATTCATAATTAGACATCATAGTTAGACATCATAGTTAGACTTCATATTTAGACTTTATTTATGCCGTGTAAAATTGTAGACTCCTCCTAATTTCTCATATTTTCAATGTGTTTTCAGTATGGACGCCGTGACATTTCCTAGGAGGTTGTTCACAGAAGGAGAAGAACCGGATTATGATCGCAGTGTTGTCTACTATAGCAAGAACACTGCACTGTGGTCTCAAATGCACACCACACTTGAAGATGAATGGGATGAGCTTGAGAATTCTAAGCTGGGACCCCTCTTCAGGTTCACGAAGCTCGAGTTTAATTGGGCATCGAAGGTGGCACAGACTATGCTCACTATGCAAGTAGCATGCAAGAAGAAGTATGAGATATGGAGTGCCGTGGGTGTACAGCCAGTGCGATTTTCTCTGAACGAGTTTGAACACATCACCGGGCTTAACTGCGAGTATAAAGAAGCGCTGACGAAGCCAGAGACTGTTAACACAGACGAGATGAAAGACTTCTGGCGGAAGCTTGGTGTGAATGAGAAGCTTGGTCCGAGCGTTGACGAACTCTTAGCAGCGTGCCAGTGGGCCGGAGAGTGGAGCAGAGAGGATAGGCTGAGACTTGGTTTTTTGGCCGTATACGCTGGCTTCATTGATGCTCGCAAAAGTTCCACTCATACACGAGTAGCACTGGCTAGTCAAGTTATGGACTTGGAGAAGTTTGAAAACTATCCCTGGGGGCGAGTAGCTTTCAAGACCCTCATCAAGTCCATAAAGAAAGCAGACGTGTCCAAGCCATTCAGCCTCGAAGGCTTTGCTGAAGTCGTGCAAGTGTGGGCGTACTATGCTATGCCGAGGTTCGGAGAAGAAAACGGTGATCCGAGGCCAAATAATCCTGAGCCACCGCTGCTAGCATTCAATGGAATCAGAGGGAAGAGATATGTTATCGGAACCATGAAGAAGCAGGTAATTCATTTGCCTTGTACTCTCTGCATATTAATCATAATATCCAAAAATTCTTGACTTTTCTGATAACGGTTTTGCAGGTGCTTTTCAATCACATGGTAATGGTGGACAAGGCAGACGTGTACCCACGTTGGGACAAGGAAATAGATGACGAGAAGGTGGACAACATCATCAAGGCCTTGCTTGGGGAATTTGGTGGAGGATGGGTGTGGAAACCAGCTGACTGGGTTAGAGAAGGGATATCGGTGGTTAAGAAGGTGAAGTTTGAGAAGTCTGTGAAGTCAGAGAAGTCTCATGGCAAGAGGAGTCTCTCTGATGAGGCTGATGATGATGAAGCGATAAGTGTCAAAAGAGCTCGGACCTCAGATGGTTCACCTGCGGAGGCCTCTGGTGCTGGCTGGAAAGGTCTTGAGGCGAAGATTGAGGAGCTTTTTAAAGACTTCACCAAAAAACACTTCGAGGAGATGAGTAAGACCCAGGAAAAGATTCAGGTCCTCACCGCTCAAGTCGCTGTGGTAGGGAGGATTGTCAAGAAGCTTTCGCATCCTCAGGCTCAGGATTCTGTGAAGTCCAGTGAGGATACTGCGAAGTCCAATGAGGATTCTGCGAAGGCCAATGAAGAGCTGGAGAAGAAGAATGAGGAGCTGGAGAAGAAGAATGAGGAGAAGTCCGATGAGGAGCCGGATAAGTCCGATGCCGGTGAAGGGAAGACGGCTCCGCCTGGTGGAACGGTTAGTACCGTTCATTCTCCACGTAGATCGATAAAGTAGTTGAAAAGAGATATGTGCGTAGGAGTCATAGGGTCGCTGTGAAAAAGAACAAGTGATGTGTGTATGTTTCTGTTTGTAGTGTGTTGCGTTGCGTTGTACACTTTCCCTCCTGTTTAAATAAAAGTTCAAATTTCTAGTGACTCATTATCTGTTTTGTCTCTCTCTATCTCTCTTGTGTTTGAGCAATGTTAACAGGAAGATACGGATTGCACTTGGCTCCGGACACATATTCCAACTGATTCTGAGGAAGCCGAAGAGAAAAGGCAACAGGAAGAGCATATCAAGGCGGCTAATGTTATGGCAAGAGGGAAAAGTGAGAGAGTAAGGAAGCTGGCGTTTACTCAGAAAGGTGAGTTCCAAGGAAACAGCACCGCTAGAAGGATCATCCTAAACAACCCCCCGGAGATACCCAATTCCCCACCGAAATCACTTAAGATCATCTCTAAACCGAGGAAAGCAGCTATTACGAAGAAAGCAGCTAATCCGAAGAAAGCAGATCCGAAGAAATCACCTCCTCCGAAGAAAGCAGCTAATCCGAAGAAAGCACCTCCTAAGAAAGCACCTGAACCTAAGAAAGCACCTGAACCTAAGAAAGCAACCGGTGGCAATGAACCTCTAGGGTATAATCCATTTGCTCGACCTCTCGAGGAAAGGATAACACCAATGCGGGCATTCGTCTCCGGATTACCGTGAGCCCCTAAACTCTTTTGTCTCTTCGTTGTTTGACCAAATTATAGAGGCTTACGAGAATTTACCAATGTTTCAGGGGTTATTCTGCAGCTACAGCGCTGGAGCCGGACAAGTTCGATTACCCGGAATGGCACTGGTGGTTTACTTTACTCACGGGGTTTCAATGGCTATCGGATAGCGTACGTTCTATTGTTAGACTTCGTAAATATACTTCACAAGTAGACTTCACTGTTAGACTTATGACATAGACTTCATATTTAGTCCTCATAGTCGAATTCTTTGTTTCCATTGCAGCATATGAAGTCCTGGGCCACCATGATGACTCACCGCCTAGCAACGCGACCAGAGTTGTTTAAAAATGATTCTTGGGAAAGGGACTGGCCCAGGTTTCAGAGATGTCAAATGCTGCCTCCTAATTCGCTGGACTGGTACTTTGGTAATCTCCCGAAAAGCCAGCCCAGCAATAAGCGATGGGGTTATGATGTTGATGATTTATTCATTCCATTGAATATCAAAATAAGCATTGGGTCGCGCTGCATGTCTCCATACCCAAAAGGCACATTACCATCTACGACAGTATGGTGGACTGGCTCGATGATGCGGAAATGGACTTGTTGGTGGAACCCTATGCGGTGATGATGCCGAATCTTATGCACTCCGCGGCTCAGGCTGAGGACAAATGCGTCTACTTCGATGCGAAGTACACGCACAGCCGTCCGAGTAAGGATGTGCCGCAGCAAGTGGGGGCTGGAGATTGTGGCGTGTTTGTCCTCAAGTCATCGAGTGCCTGGCAGTCGGATATGCCGCATTTCCGAAGACGTTGTGTCAGAAAAACATCACCATGTTTAGGGAGCAGATTGCGTCTGATATGTACCATGAGATCAACTGCCGTGGACCGGTCGAGGACCCAGATGATTGGGACAATGTCGATTTGTATGACGAGAGATTATGAAAGGTGTAGGTGTAATCTTAATGCTCTTTAACCCGATGATGGGTGTAGGCTAATTATTCTTTTGTAATCTATCGCTGATCGGCCTTCACATTTCAGAAGTCTATTGTTTTGGTATATTGTGCACTTGGTATATTTCTAGTCTATTGTATTTCAGAAGTCTATTGTTTTGTTATTATTGAATTTCGTATACTTTCCTCCAAATTGGCACAAAGTAAACCTCACAGATAGACTTGCAACATAGACTTAACTGTGAGACTTCAAGAAAAATAAAAACCAGTGTTTTTCTCCGTTTCATCCACCTAAAACACGAACAAAACATACAAATTGGCGCAAAGTAAACTTAATAGATAGACTTAATAGATAGACTTCTGTGTCAGACTTCACGAAAAACTAAAAACCAGTGTTTTTCTCCGTTTCATCCACCTAAAACACGAACAAAACATACAAATTGGCCGCAAAGTAAACTTAATAGATAGACTTAATAGATAGACTTCTGTGTCAGACTTCACGAAAACTAAAAACCAGTGTTTTTCTCCGTTTCATCCACCTAAAACACGCAAAACATACAAATTGGCCGCAAAGTAAACTTAATAGATAGACTTCTGTGTCAGACTTCACGAAAACTAAAAACCAGTGTTTTTCTCCGTTTCATCCACCTAAAACACGCACAAATATACAAATTGGCCAGACTCACAATAAACTTCATAGATAGACTTTCATAGACTTCGTCGGCAGACTTCACGAACAACTAAAATCACAAGTCAGTCTTCAGCGACCTGTGTAGTGCAGAAAATGAAAGATGTCAGCTCCTCTCAATGTGGATGCAAAGCATGAAGGGACAGCTTTATAAACTTACACAATTGGGGCGAGTATGACCAGGTTCCTTGCACTTAGAGCAGCTGTACTTCTTATGCGTTTTCCTCGGTTTTGTGTTTTTCTTCCTAGACATCTCTAGCCAAGTTTGCCACCTCGACTTCTTCGGCCTTCCAGAAGGGACACTCTCCCCTGGAGGCAAACAGCGAACAGGCTTCACGTGGGAGTCAGTTCCCTCTTTGGGGTAAATCGGATGTGCATATGTTGAGAACAAGGAAGGCGTCGAATGAGTGGCGCATACGTAATAGGACATGTCGACGTTAGCTTCGGCTGCAGCTGCAATAACATGAGAGCAAGGGATTTTTTCAACGTTATACACACCGCACGAGCATGTTCGATTCTCCAAGTCGACATTACAATCTCGTCTCCCGCCTTTAACATGAAAGCGCCAAGCGTCTATGCGATCTACGATCATACTTCCCGCATAGTAAGACCGTATGGCCAATATGTACTCAACACCTCTGCTGTGTCTGGTTGTGAGACTCAGTGCATCCTCCCGCCTCTTGCTAAACCATCTCCCGAGCTTCTCCCTAATAAACTCCAAAAGACGAGGAATAGGTAATCCTTTTGCTTTCTTGACAGCCGAGTTAATAGATTCTGCGATGTTGCTCGTCTTTATATTGTATCTATCACCTTCAAAATGAACTCTCGACCATAACTTCGGATCTGCTCTCTAAGTAAGTAGCTAGGGCAGGGTTCGCAGCTCTTATGAGGTCCATGTAACGGTCGTATTCAGGCACCGTATGGGCGTAGGCTGCACCTTTAACCATATACATTATCTCCTTTGCGTGGAAGTCCTTTACTATATTACCTTGGAGGTGATAGTAGCATATTCCTCTTGATGCCCAGGGCATAACGATTCCAATGGCTCTAGCTATGGCAGCGGCACGGTCAGAGACTATCGCCATTGGCGGAAATTGCCTGAAACAATCTCTAAGCTTGTTGAAAAACCATTCCCATGATTCACTATCCTCAGCATCGACCACTGCGAAAGCTAGCGGGAATATTTGAAAGTTGGCGTCTTGTCCGGCAGCCACGAGTAGAGCTCCTCCGTATTTCCCAGTAAGATGAGTCCCATCAACCACAATCACTCTCCTCAAATACTGAAAACCAGATATAGAACCGGCGAGTGATAGAAAGCAGTACTTAAAACGGTCCTGTGAGTCACAGACAAGGTCAGTCACAGTTCCCGGATTTGCATCCTTGATTCTTTGCAAGTAAGAAGGCAGATTCGCGTATCCTTCTTCAGCTGTTCCCCACACCAAGTCTTGGGCATGTTTCAAAGCTCTATATGAAGCCGTATAGTCGAGCTTCATTCCAAACATCCTCCTCATAGAGTCTCTTATGTGTTGCGGCACAATTCCTTCAATGAGCCCTGTCCGATCAAGAAAAAGCTTTCCAATATACTTCGTTGTACAACGTTTATGGTTACGTACTCGATCAGAAACAGAACATGTATGCGACTTCACGTACTTTGTCACCCAAAACGTGGAGGGTTCGTTCTTTACGGCCGCTCTAAGCCTCCATTTGCATCCAGCGACTTTGCATTTGGCCACAAACACTTTTCTTGTAGACGCAGCTATCCTGAATGAGAATCTTGTCATCACCGCGGTCAAACGCAACTCAGAGATAAGTTGGGCCTTGGTATCAAAGCTCTGGTGCTCGTAAATATTGTCTTCCCAATTATCAATTCCTATACGATGACCCACACCACGCCCTAAAAGGCGGGGATCATCGAAAGGAACATCAATGACAACGTCTTCATCTTTAATTTTCCCATACTGACTGTAGTCCGCGTGTGTGTCATCATCGCCTTCATAAGCTTTTTCCCTTACATCATCCTCATCACAACCCGACTCTTCAGACACTTCTTCTCGTTCTGCGCTCCAATCTTCATCCAACTCTTCATCGAACTCTTCCTTCAACTCATCATCCAGATTTTCATCTAAGTCTTCATCCAAAGGTCCATCTACGTTGTCTTCATCCTTCCTTTGCTAGAGACACAAAGTCGTACACCATGATTTCTACTTAGCTCGATCAAGCTTTCGACTTGTCTGTCGTTTGTGACAAACATGGGCGGAGAATCATTACACGTTTGCTGAGTGAACACTTCTGGTAATGGATATGATATTTCCAAACGGTGTCCGATCTTGGTTAGCGAATAATCCTCTAAAGCCATTTGAATGAGCTCATCATGTGTACATCCATCCCTCAACGAGAACATTCTACCTCCTTTCCGATAATCAACCTCAAAATGCCAAGACAAATTGTCCTTTATCACCCATTCTCCATAAACAGATGCAATGTAAACCATTTCCTGCAAGTAAACAAAAACAACCGCATTAGACTTCATTGATAGACTTTATTGGTAGACTTCACCTAGAAGTCTACCTAGTATTGTCTAATATTCAAATTTCACAAGAAAACCGTTTTCACGAGCTATACAACGAATAAGCATGTCAAACTAACACACCAGCAACTAATCAGATTAAATCAACTAATGTTTCAAGAGAATCTTAAAAATTCCTTATATATTTACCAAAAAAGCGTTTTCAAATAAAAAGTTAAATAGTAGACTTCACGATGAAGTCTATTTAGTATACTTACTTGTGAAGTCTAATAGACTAGTTTTGCAATTTTTCAAATGACAATTTTTTTATGAAGTCTACACGTGAAGTCTACCGAAAAAAAAAGACTAGTTTTGCAATTGACCAAGCTTTGACTTTTACAATTAGACTTCATTATCGTGAATAGGCTTAAAAATGAAGTCTAACTACAGAATGAAGTCTATCGGTGAAGTCTAACTACATAATGAAGTCTATCGAAGTCTACAACAACAATTAGACTTCATAGGGATTAGTTTTGCAATTGGTCCAATTTTTGAATCAGGAAAATAGACTTCATCGTGAAGTCTACTCCGACAAACGTTGACTATTAGACTTCTTGGTGAAGTCTATCAAGAATTAGGCTTCGAAATGAAGTCTAACCCAGTATTAGACTTTGAATGAAGCCTAATACAACATTAATAGATTTCAGGGGTAGACTTCACGATACAACAAACTACTTAAAGTTTGCAAAACTAGTCTTTTATTCAAGCAGACTTCACAGATAGATTTCCCATAAAAAGTTTTTATTCTGTCAGTTGCAAAACTAATCTTTTCGAGTAGACTTCATTCTGAAGCCTACGCCATATTTTTTTGTTTTCAAAGGAATATGGGTAGACTTCATTGTGAAGTCTACTCTCTAAATTTTTTGAAAAATCAATTGCAAAACTAGTTTTTTAGACTTCGCTATGAAGTCTAAGAACCTGCAAAAATATGAGATTCACTCAGATCTACCGGAAAGTTACCTTGCCGTGATCTTATGTTTCGTTGACGGCCTATAACTTCGATTTAGAGCTTTAGCAAACTTCCCCAACCGTTATAATGATCTCCCACACCAAAAATGGGAAGATCTAAGAACATAAACTTTGAAAAGATGAAAATGTGTATTCTTGGGGTGAAAATTGAGAGGAAATTGACCAATACAAGTTTATGAGATGATATAATGAGTTTGTGTATATGTTTGAAGAGTACATA